TTTTAGCATGCCTTTTAACAGTAAGCCGATTTAAAATAGAAAAAATCTGAATAAAACATTAGAGTGGAAGAACCTATGGGACAACCCAATAAGTCTGTCGTTTTTCACGAGGAACTTCCCCCATCGTCACGTCCTCATTACCCGTTATGACCAGTTTGTACGATTACGATAGTGACCGGACGTAGATTTGCACTGAGTGACTACGACTTTGCTGGGCATTTCCCCATATGGTGTTACTACAACCTAACCTATCGTAGCCTTCGTTTACGAGTCTTTTGTAATTCATCCATGGTCTCACTGTCTCTATATTTTTCTATCAAAATCTAACGTCGAATGGCGATGATTTCCGGATTTGATTTCGCTTCCATTTTATGCGGTTGTGAGTAGTTATAGTTGAGTTTCATCATACCAATTCAGAACGATACGAACCTAGTCTTCTTCTGAAAGTTCCTCATCGTTTTATGATGGTTATTACGTATTTTCTACATGCATTTTGTTGGGCTTTTATAGTTCGCTTTTGCTTGACTTGATTTTTTTCGATCGCTAACAGTTTTTTCCATTCGTTTGAAAGTTGGAGATTTTCAGAAAATGCGTTGGAGGTGACCAGCAAACGCTTCAGAGTATGCCCGATCTTCAATCGCTCATATTTCTTTTTCTAGTGTATTTTCTACGATTTTGTAATGCAGAAGGTGAGTATACCCCTACAACTTCAATTCTTCATTTTGATATTTCTCTCTTTTAGGCATTGTTTCATTGTAAATCAGATTATCTAAGTGGATTATTTACATATAGCGATCATCTACTAATCGATTTCATGGATGGTTTAGCGCCGGTTATCTTGACATTCTTCTGATCCGTCATTTGATTATCGTCTATTGTCGTCGTCTATTTTCGACTTCCATTTCTCCATCACATCAAATATTTTCAATCTATAGTGTGACTATTGGCAGTGTTGGCGAGCAAGAGCAGAAGTGATCCACTGAAATGCAGATAATGCTCGGAATGGACGTTAAGATAAACTTTTCCATAATTAGTCAGTAGTTGGGGCAATCTTGTCAAGGCGAGCAATTAGCGGAATGAATTGTGGACAGAAGCTCATCATCATCATCATCATCATCATCATCATCATCGTCAGCAATGCTACAACATCTGCTGCTCGTCTTGAATGTTTGAGAATCAGAATCACATTATTATGGATGCCGAGATTTTTGGTTAATCGAACAAAGTCAAGCATGACCTAATGTGCTAATGGGCCATTTTATCCAGTCGTATCATGAGCAACTGCTGAGACAGACATGAGAGCCGAATTTCTGATGAACATTAAAAGATGGCAACCACTCTATTAAACATTAAAACCTGATTGTGAAGATAATAGACTCGTTTTATGGGTTAGTTCCCGTATGGTTTTTTTGCACCTTGAATTTACATTGGAGGTTAATGTTTCTTTTTTTTGACAAGGCCAAGAAAACAGGCAATCAACTATTTGGTAATTTTTGTTAAATTTCACATTAAATTGTCTAATGAACTAACTCTGTTATGCTATTTCTATATGATTGTCTTTGGTGTTTTTGTTGAAGATTCTGCGTTATGTGCATATTTCTTTGAATTAGTAAGCTTTTTCATCAACACATGTCTGTGTTGAAACAAGTGTGCTGGATTTCTGTTCTAACAAATGTTTTACTTTTTTCCTAGATGACAAGGCGATCAAAACTTGTAATAATTTTTTACACTCGGTTTTAATGGGAGGAGTGGGTGTTTAATTTATGCTTTTAAATGTATGGAAAATCTCTTCTTGGTTGATAGCGTACTTTTCATTTTAGTAGAACAAAAGTACAAATAAGCTTAGCTGAATTTCTCAACAACGTTTACACCTTCGAAGCATCTGAAAATGTCACGTTTTGTCACCTATTTCAATACGAAAGTTAATACTAATCAGTTTTTGTCGATACAAATGATACACAGTGATTTACTGATATAACCTGTGGTTCTTTAGTGGCATTGGATAGGTGAGATGCCTATAAACCTAGATGTTAACGATATTCGCCTTCGGGATGTTATTGTATAGTCCCACGGTTGACATTGTCCGCCTTCTGCTCTGGTATCTTCCAGCGCTTTGGTCAGGGACGGGTCGATCATCCCTTTTTGTTCCACTGCGAAAGTGTTTTTGAAGAGCAGGCATTTGTCCTCTCATTAAAGCTTTCTCTGAAGATGTTTAATTAATGGAATCTTTTGAATGAGCTTTTTTCAGCTATTCGACAAGTAAAGTGGTTTCCAAAACGTATTGGAGTAGTTCGTGTTAGGATGAAAAGTCAATGCCTATACTCATGACATCTGTCGAGAGCTAATAAATTACACCTTGTTCACATTGAGAAGTACGTAATTACCTCCTAAATATCGGATAGGAGTAATGGCTACTTGTTGAAATATTGATAGAAATCAAAAGCTTTACAGCTGCTAAGCGACCTCTACAACCACTATGGCATTGAATGAGCAGAAAATTGCGATGAAGTGGTTGTTCTGTTGTTCATAACATCGCTTCTTCTTTCGCCCCAACGATATATCTGATTTCGTGAGAGGACCAAGGGTGATGGTTTTAATGCTGAAGAGCGAGATGTTCATCTTTTCCAAATGAGATCATCCCTGGGTCGGCGATAAATCACCTGCTGGTGGGAAGGATCGAGACGTAGCGAGGGCAGGTGCATTATTCATTAGGGAATTCAGTCAAACCAACACCATCCACCACTTAATGACTGTAGCGTTCTTGGACACATACCTTGCGAAGTGTTCGATTTTTAAATCATGAGGAATATACTTATTCGGGTGATATCTTTTACTTTCGATGTAGATACAATGACAAATATAATTACGATGTGGAGCCCTTGTGGGGCCTCGAACTCGCGTTTACCTTTTTTGGGGGACTCACGCGTAACTGCATTGCTAAGGCCGTTTTCTCTATTCTTTGTTAGTTGTGATTCGACTTTTTGCAGTGGTAAAGTTATAGTAGTTATTATTCTGTCAACGACCACCCATCACAGACGATCAGACGCCATCTGTCCCGTAGAGCGACCCTGCCGTATTCGATCTCGTCCATTGTTTGGACGTTATCAGGAATTCTTGGTGGCGTGTCCATCATTGGGTAATTAATGCTTCGTGCACAAATAGTAAATGGAATACACGTTCTCCTGTTTTACTGTGGCTGTCCACAGTCACGAATAAGCCGAGTACATTTTTTTCAATATTAGACATCTTTATAAAATTTTATGGTATCAAAAATAAAGTCTCAGTAGCAGGCGGCTGCATTTGCGCTTGTTGTTTCACTTCAGTTTACCAGATGGCAACAGTTGTACGTTGAACGCTCGTGTGTCTGAAGGACAGCATATTTAAAAATTGAGCAGATTTATAGATATCGAACCAGTCGAATATACGGTACATTGTTTGAATAACAGCCTTATGCCTCAAAAAGTCTCCCATTCCCTACTATCAGTAGAGAGACCTGCGGGGCGTGTGGCTCTGACGAGACGGGCGAAACCGTCGAAACGCACGTAACACATTGACGTACTAACCTCGAAATGGCACAAAATGTTTTCTGTGCATTTTAGATGTAGCTTTGATGCTTGAATATCCTGTATACCACAACATCACATGCATAACAGATCTATAGAGTGGATCAGCAGGCACCTCTGGAAATGATGAGACGCGTGGGTTAAACTCGCGCTCGGGGTTTGGAGTTTTGAATATCATTCATCATTCTTTGACGTAAAGATTTATGGAGCACTAGAATGTTTTTCTCAGCAGGGCAGGACGGATTATGGAGTATTGGTTCAGCAGTTTATTTCAAATTAACAACGCTTTGTATTATTGATCCTGGATGCCCAATTCGCATGGACTGAGGTGGCGAATGGGATTGTGAAAGATTCGTGACGAACGAACGAACGAACGAACGCAAGTGTTTAGAGGACGTGATTGCTTGTATGCCTGAACTGAGAACGATCGGATGGATAAAGGAGTTACGAACGTTTTACGGCGGCTCGTCACCCCGATGTCATCGACGCTAGGATGCTAGTCGGCACTAGTATTATATTAAATAATTCACTGACACTCTCTCTGTATGGTATATTGATGGATGATTCGTAGGCGTGATTGGTAAATATCATCAGATGTGGGTTTAAAAAAAGGATGAAGCTCTCGGCGTTGGTTAAGCCCTGAGGGATGCGCCATACTGGCCTTTACAATGACTCACGGTGGCCTACCGCTGTATCGAGTCAGTGCCGCTTATTCTCCCAGACTAGTTTGGGACCTGTCTGGTACAATGTTACCGACCCCGGAGGGATGGTGGCTTGGTGAGCCATGGACGCAAGATCGAACTATCAATCGTGTATGCGAGCAGAGCATCTCTGACCACTGCGTCACATGCGCTCTTCAGATATGAGTGGTACTGTATTTCTTAAAATATGTAAATGAGCAGGCGTAAGACAGTCGCTAACGAACATTTTGGATGTCTCATGTCGTCCCATGCATACAGACTTCGACGCATAGGCCAATTATCTGGCAAAAAATTCCCGCCCATCAAGGCTTCCTTTTTTTAGCGTAAAATTTCCATGTTTTTCGCAGGGAAAGTGATTACAGAACAAGAACCTTGGTAGTGCAGTGATTAGCACGTGCCCTCGTAAAGACAGAGACACGGGTTCAATCTCCGCTCGAGATTCGGAGTTTTGCGTATCACTCAACACTATTGTTATAAATGATTTCAGATGTTTCCACTGCTTTCTCGCAGTGTTATGATGATTCAAATATACCTAAGAGGATTGAGTGGTGAGCAAAAAATCGACCTCAGGCGAGAGTTGAACCCGCATTTCACCCATTCTGGAAAATATTGATACCACTGCAAGTTTAGCTACTGCTCATTCTTCAATATTTCTATCCGACCAAACGTGTTGTAGGTTGGTAGTTGATAGCTATGATATGAGAGATCTTGAAGATTGAGTGGTGGGTGAGCAGTGGCCTCAGTGGTGTAGTGGTAGCAGGCGTCCTCGGTTTGAGTGAAACGCGGGTTCAAGTCCCGCCTGAGGCCCGATTTTTGTTCAGCACTCAGTCCTCTTAGGTACACCATTGATATAGTTATGACATCGTATTGATTTCCTTGAATCTCCTTTACTTACGAAAAGAAGAAAAAAGTCCGAACTGAGAAATAGAACGGTGATCTCAAGCAACTGGTTCACAGCTCCTTTACTGATCGATAACTATTAAATAAACACTGATGTCGGTGCACATAGAAATCGCGTTCAAATTGCGCGCTGCAGCGATGGGTCAGGAGTTTGCCGTGGGTCATGCAAAAGCCAGCGTGCACATGCTCGTAAGGTAACAGTGACCGTACTATTCACATGAATTTCTGCTGCGTTTGAATTTTAATATTTTTTATACACTTAGCATAAGTCCATTCTACATGGGAGGGACCTTGGTGCTGAGTGTAAACCTCTCTCAGGTCTGGAGAGAGGGCCAGAATTTTTGTGAAGTACTTCTTAGAGGGAATGGGATATTTGGAGGCTTATACCTTGTAGTTGTCGTCCTTATTGTCTTTTGACGAAAATAGTAGGAGTTGTGAAAGTTTCTGCGGGAACAGAATTTGGTCCATAAAGCCTAGTGATGACTTGAATTCAATTGGTATTGTAAATATCCATTGAACGATTGTCTGTACCCTCATTATCTACCTTGAAAAGCTTATCTTAATCCTCCTAAAAGCTGGCATAAAACGTTTCATGTGAAAAGACAAGCGAAACGTCGTGGGTGGTCTTTTCTTATGTGATTTTGCTCAAAGGGGGGTTTTTGACCTACGGAAAGAAATTGGTGATAAGTAAAATAATAATAATAATCGATGGAGAAACTCCAGTGATCGTTGAGGCTGAGCTGATTTATTTCTGAAAGCTACTGAAACTGGCATAAATTTTGAACCTCTGATCTATAAAATGATTCAAATCTACTTTTTTCTCTAAGTGAAGATATCGCGAAAAATGTACGGACCGAACTAAGTTAGGTTTTTATGAGCCAAATATCCGCTAGAATAATGGAAAACCGAGCTAAAGATTTAGTTTTGTTTGGGGAATACTCCGAAGAATAATGAATAAACCGCGGCGCCGTGGCCGAATAATTGTGATGCTCGCGTCACGGCGCCTGTGGAGTCGAGCACAACGCGCCGTGGAATGCCAGCCTGGCTATCCTCGTGGTTGCAAGGAGACGTGCACAACCACTATTCTTTGAAGTGCAAGGAGAAGACGGAAAAAGGAATTGATTGCTAGAAGTACTGGGATCCGCCTAGTGGCAAAAACACACCGTGAGGACGGATCAGATAAAGTTTCAGTGGATAAACCGAGTTAAATCGATATCTTCATAGGGAAAATATCCCGGATAATCTGATAGTGTTGGATGGATTTAATCGCAGCGATGAAAGTGATGTCGTCGACTCTGTAAATGAGATGATTCCCATCGATGTCTGCTATTTCTATTCTCCATTGTTGTTGTGGCGGATTCGAAGTCAGTTTGAGAAGATCTTGGTGATGGAACCAGGATGGGATTGTACTCTCTAAAGCCATTAATTATATTTCAGTAAAAGGAGCGATATCACTGCGCACTTCTTCTTCGGTACAAAGCCATGTTCCAATAATGAGAGCGTCGTCGAAAACTTCTCTCAAAGGTTCCTATCAAGATTGTATTTACACTCCGTTTCCGCAGCGTTCCATTAGAGTCAGCAGTTATTGGTTTAAGAGTAAGGACATCATGTAGAGATGTTCTTTTCAGATTCGGAAGACGGTGTGCCGATTATCGTTGAGCATCCACTTGATGTGATCGTATCGAAAGGATCGCCGGCTACATTGAACTGCGCTGCAAAACCTCCAGGAGCCCAGATAACTTGGTAATAAGAGAAGTTCTCTTTGCGAACAGTACAGTCTCCTATTCCTTAAAGGGAGCTAACACATTAATAAATACAATTTTTTCTTCGGCAAGCAACAAAACGCCAAGTTGTTATATTAAGTCGTTTCGTAAGTTTAGGCATCAGGGCAATAAACACCAGATTCACTAACTGAAAGTAATAAAATTGCATGGTTTTAGTACCGCTCAATTGTGCATTTTCTTGCGAACATTTTGGTATACAGCTTGCCTGTACTTGCTTCAAGATGAAGCTGACTCGGAAAGAAATTCAGGTTCTTTGTGGTCATGAGGGATAAATGAAAAACCGATCTCGTTCGTTGGGGAGAAGATTTCATGAGAGTTTCAGTAACCGTCTGAAAGCTGAGACTTCATGCTACAGTCTTTTTTTGACGTTACTACAGAAGGATATTTCTTGCGTTGCAGACGCACATATTTCTCGCTGGACTGCGCTCTTTCTTTGGGCTATTAGTAATCATTTGATAACGTGATGGTAGCTGATTCCAGCGCTATGCTTATATTCTGAATAGACCGTATCTCCGTAACCGGCAGGTAAAAGTAAGTTGAATTTGTATGTGAGACCAAAGAGGTCTTTGGCCATATCACGTGCGCTGAGGTGATGATGGATAGACGTTGCACTGGTCTTACGACATCGCACGTGGGCTCCTCAGCTAGGGGTACGTGAACTTGCCAAAGACCCCCTTGGTCGCAGATGCGAATTCAACTTATTTTACCCGCTGTGCCGCAGAGAAACGATTTTTCAGAGTATAAGCACAGCGTTGGAATCAAATTTGATTGCACTATCAAATGGTTACTAAAAGTCCAAAGACGGAGCTGTGTCCGGCGAGAAATTTGCGCATCTGAGATATAGTTTTGTAGGGATTTCACAGTATTATGAAGGGGCGTTTTGAAAAGGCGGAGACGTGCGCCTGTATCCTGAAGTCTCAGCTTTCGAACGGTTAGTAACACTGCTATGAAAAGTTTCTGTCCAACAAATGAGGTCTGTTTTTCATTTGCCCCACTTATAACCACAAAGCAGCGAAATTTGCTTGCTACTTATAGACGAATAAAGCGTAGGTGGAAATGCTGGTGAAGCGGTGTGCATAATTAATGGAGCTTCCCGTGGACGGCCCGAACGCTACTGATCCTCCAGGCTGTTCCCTGTAGCTTTGTACATCGCGAAACACATCGTAACCGTCCTTTCTGCAATCGTATAATCGCCTCAGGCTCCATTAATTTTGCACTCCTCTTCAGTAGCATTGCCCTCTTCTCGCCATTAGTGCATGGGTAGCAAGCGAATTGCTTCCCTTAACAACTCCATCTTAAGGGAATTATAAGCAAGTTGGGCACCAAAATGTTTGTAAGGAGTGCGCAATTGAAAGACACCAAAATCATGCAGTTTTGGCTACTTCTGGTCAGTAAATTTGGTGTTTATTGCTCTAGTGCCAACACTTTTTAAACGACCCATTAATAAAATCTATTTGAACAACTGACGACTTATCGGCAGATTTCGCTCATTTCCTCTAGAGCCCTGGAGGATCAGAGTGTTCGCAGTAGCCCAGTCGGTCGAACGCTTTCATTACATCAACTGAAAAAAGGTTACTTATGAAAAACGATTTGTTGAACACTGCCGTGGTCAACATATAGTCTGTTTTGAAAATTAACACACAGGTATCTAACCCTATCAGTCACTGAGAATCAGTTGACAGGAAGAGAAAAGTGGGCTAGGCCATTTAGTGTTGGAGAAGCAGGAATTAGAGAATTAGACGGTTATGAAAACTGTCTGCCTGAACACGTCAGATAATTTTGGTGTACTAAGTGATCTGTCTTCTTGACAAGCCAAAACACGATGTAAATACAAAGAAGGATAGAATTCTTAGTGCAGATCAATCCTTGAGAATGCGCCATGCATTCGACCTCATCAGGCACTGTTTGAGATGATTGAACTCATATCTGGCCTATACCATGGCTCACGGTGGGCTACCGATGTATCGAATAGTGCTGCTATCCTTCCAGACTAGTCTGCTAAGCAGTTTGCCAACCCCAAAGGAATCAAAAGCTTGATGAGTTTGGGCGCGAAATGGAGCCATTGCTACTATGTGAGTATCGCAGGCGCCTCTACCCACTGCGCCGCACGTGCCTTTGAGGTTCTGCCAAATAGGTTGCTGTAGTAGAATTCGTTTTAATAGCCAAGGAAATAGCGCAATATATAGGGTCGTTATTTTGATATGGGTGGCGTGTTAGCAGTTCATGTGAGCTTTGCACGATTGGTCACCACTTGGGTAGCTCAGTTGACGACTCATAGAAAGCTGTGAGTACATGGAAAGCTGTCTTGTGCTTGATACGGGCGGTATGTGGACTTGGTGATTCATTTCTGTTGGAGTATGGAAGATGTTCGGCTGACTGAGACAGTGTCAGCTCCGAAGGAGGCGAAATCCTCCGAAACATAGCCAGCTGTTCAAATAAATCTCATTGTAACGAGCTTGTGTTTTGTGGTTTATCGAAGAAAAACTGTGAATTATTGAAGAACGTCTAGTTTGATAGATAGTCGACCTTGACGGTTATGATATCTCAGTTTTAGCTGGGACATTTGATAGGAAGTGTTCTCATCGAGAACAGCTTGTGCTCTATTGGGATGGCGAGAAATTTTACGGACTTTTTCGTCTTTCTTGATTATTCTTCATGTATTTAAGGTTCTATTTTTACTATTGTTTGGAGCAGCTTTTTATTTTAATATGGTACTCTTCAGGTATAAGGGAACGAATGAAAAACCGACCTTCTTCGCTGGAAGGACTTTTGATGGGAGTGTTAATAACCATTCCAAAGCTGAGACTTAAGGCTACAGCCCCACGTCGTCGGTTTTCGAAAAAAGACTTTTGTTGACTTTGCTGCAAGGCGAGATTTCTTGCGTTGCCTATGTGCATATTTCTCGCTGAATAGAGCTCTTTCTTGGACTATTAGTAATCTTTCGATAGCTTAATCGTTTCGGATTCAAACGCTGTGCTTATATTCTGAAATGACCGTTTCTCCGAAATGCAACAGGTAAAGTAAGTTGAATTCCCATCTGCGATCAAGGGGTCTTTGGCTAATTCAGGTGCGTGTGCGTGAGGCGGCCACGTAATCCGCTGACGCCATACTTTTCTACTCGTT